CCTTCAGAACTGAAAATGGAAAGTTTGGAAAGGTCTAGTGATTTGGGGTAGAGAAATACTAGAATGCTGTAAGAACAGCTTGATGTGTGATACTGGTGAGAACTCAAAATGCTGACAGGAATTCAGATAGTAAAGACCAGCCCCAGGAGGTTTCATTTGGGAACAAGTACAGACTTCACCGGCAGTTGGATCAGAGGTCATTTGTGTTATGTCTGGCAGAAAAGTTTCCCAGAACTCTTGTTCTGAGACTTTCTGGGAGACTAAGATTAACACATTCACAGTGGAGCCATAATTCATATGTCTCATTAGCAGGCAGCTCTGATTTGAACTCAGTCATCTGATGTTATATGGCTAACTGGTGTATGCTCTTTTGTTAATATAATATGCTAAAACAAAGACTGTCATTGCTATTCATGGCTAGATTATCAAGCTCAGTGGTAAATTTCTCTTTTATTCCTTTGCTGTTCCTTGGGGGGTCTTACTTTCATTTAGGATTTTCACTTGTAAGTAATACATAATTTTGTATGCATATATGTATATTATAACCTATTCATTTTTCAATTTAAAGAGTATTTCAATTTTGCAAAATTTTTCCAACTAGAATGTCAAACACCAAAAATGTATGATTCATCAGATAAACCTGCAATTATGTCTCATGAGATGAAATGGTCATGACATATGCATTATTCTTCAGATGAAGGAAGATGCATTAGAGGTAGATGAATGTAATCTTGTGACCAGTGCATTCACTGACCACAGTGTAGATCTGGATATGAATGTAGAAGATCAAGAGAAGAATTCTTCACAATAATAGAAAGAAAGGTGACAAAACATGAGCACACAGAATTGTAAAATGCAAAACTACTAATAAATATTCATTGCAGTGACACTTTTGCAGTGTGTAAATTATTCAGAAAATATTAATAATACACTCAAAACTATAGTTAAAAAAACAGATAAGCCATTTAGTGCAAAAAAGAAGAAAATATCAGAAATGCTGGGAATCTGTTACAATTAATGAGATGAAAATTTTATATTATTAATAATAAAGATACTACCATTACCGCCTATTAGATTGCATTAGTCTGAAAATAACATATATTTATACATAATATATATTTATATAATGTAAATTATATTTGCCTAATAGTTACACCTATGACTAATATGTCCATGCCAAAAACATTGCCAACCCTTGGATGCACAGGCATTCTTGTGATTTTTTTGAAGTTACTGAATGACTTATCACTTGAACACTGCACATTATATACAGACAGTTATTACTCAAGTATACCCCTAGCACAAGAACTTCTACAAAAGGAAACATTTTTGTGGCACAAAACAGCCAAATTGAAAATTTTTACCAATACAAGCAAAGCTAAAGCAAGAACATAGTGAAACCAAAAGCTTTGAAATTGTTCTTGTACAAAATTTGTTAAGTGGACTGATAAAAGAATCGTTTATATATTAACAACTTGCAAAAATCAGACACGTAGCATGATTGAAAGAAAACGTGGAGGCATAAAATCTGATCTTTTCTTTGACTACAATAATGCAAAGAAAGGAGTTGACTTAGTAGAACAGATGTCATCATATTACACTTCCTTAAGGACAACATTAAAATGGTATAAAAAATTACAATACAGCAAATTTGAGGTACAGCACTTGTAAATTCATATTACATGCATGAGCAATGGGGTACTCATAAGATTTCCATGTTAAAATTTAGAGAATTAATTACTGATAAACTATTAACCCACAAAGAAATGCCACAGGCTGAAATTATTCAAAACAGCATCCACTTTATAGAAGCTTATTTAAGATTGCCAAGAAATACACAAAACCAATGTAAAGAATGTTATCAAAACTTACCAGAAAAATGGATACCACTGTGGTCACAAAAAAAGCCAAACACATTATGACATTTTGCACACACTGCACAAATCAGCCACTTTTATGTATTTTAAAGAAATTATAGTTTAAAGAAATTCTAGAACATGATAAATTTCTTTCTCAAATAAATTTGTTGATTATTGTAATAATTTTAATTGTTATGAATAATATTAATATTTATATTTGGGAAGCAATTATTCAAATTCAAGCAAGTAACTAGATTCAATCTATTTATATTCGTACTAGTAAAAAGACCAGTAAAAGAGATTATATCCATTGGTACCACTAGTGGTACAAGTTGCCCCATGGAACAGTCATTCATATAGCATGAGTGATCCAAGCCAGGGGGAATGCGTTCAGGGTTACAGATTAATTACTCCAGTGGAGAAAATTTCAAGATAGCCCAATATAGAGGCTGTGGCATGGGTACTTCTGAGTGCTGACTGCTTTTAGCCAGATGTGCACTAAAACTCAGGAGCAAAGAGCAGAGATCAATAATGTGAAAAGTCTGCAGTTCATCACCAGAAAAGGGCTGCCTACAGAGGGGGCAAAGGAAAGCAGGAGTGATATAAAAATCAGCATTAAAAAGAAGCCAAGTACTTTTAAAGGCACAAGAAGAAAAATGCTTTGAAGGCATCTCAGGAATCAACAAGACCCCATCCATTATAGGCCTAGGGTGCAAAAGTGTAAACCTTTCATTTGAGAAGAAAGCCCCTGGGACACCTGCTTATGCAGGACCAGCCAGGGAAGTGTATCCCCAAGTTCAGCCATGTGGACACTCAGAGGCCACTGCAGTCATGGTCCAAGGTGGGCTGCCTACTGTTCAAAATGATCTTGGCATCCTCTATGTGGTACTGGATATAAGAGTTACAGAGTCATGGAGACTTCCACCCAGATTTTGGAAGAAGGCCTGAGAGACCAAGTGAAAATGTGTAACAGAGTCACAGTCCTTGCCAGGAGCCCTGAAAAGGTAGTATGCCCTCTGGGCTGTGAAGGATAGAGGACATCTTGGTTTTCACAGTTGGACTCATGGACTCCCAAGCTGTACAAACAGAAACCTCTATGTTGCATCTTCCCCCTTTAAAAGTGTAACCACCCATCATCTACTCCTAGCATTTTTACAAAATGTCCTGTCTAGAAGGGATGGTCTGGGGTACTGCCAGGAACTTGTTAAAAGTCTCAACAAATGGAGTCTGATATTTGGCTTATACAGTCGTCCCTTGCTATATCGCAGTTCACTTATTGCAGCTTCACTGTATCATGGGCGGGTTTTAAAAAAAATGTATCTAATTCTGTATCATGGAGTTTTTGCTATATTGCAAGATTTTGCAGTATATAGGTATTTATATAACATTTATGATTTGAATTGTTTTTGCCTAAAAAAGTATATAAAATATAGAAAATGTTAATTCAAACATATTAAAAGAATATTAAATAGAAATAAAATACACTATGTATTTCATCAGCAGATAAATACTGTACTGTACACAGTGGAAATTCAGTACACCACTACCGCTTGAGGAAGTTTTCCATGAGATTGTACATGGCACACTGTTGGCTGATGGAATGGAAGGCTACCCACCACACCACTGTGTTCTATATCCCGGGTGCTGATTGGCTTAGTGACCATAGCATCGGTCTTTTTGCTCTCCCGCACTGTGCCCGTACCTTCAGCATCTCTCCTTGCCCACTTCACATTGACCACCCATACAGAATTCTACATGTTATTAAAATTATGTAGGTCTAAGAGCGTAGAAAGCATTTAAGAGCATATGAAGTGTTTATAAGAGTGTGAGAAAGGTTAATAAGAGAGTGGGAAAGGTTTACAGGAGTGTAGGAAGGGTTTATAAAGCCTTAAAATATATATAAATAATAAAATAAATATAACGCCGCTACTTTGTGGATTTTCACCTATTGTGGGGGTCTCTGGAACATAACTCCCGCAATAGATGAGGGTTCACTGTACTGTCATATCAAACTACTTCACAGGTCACTGGTTATCCTTCAATCAGCTTCTGCTCCTGGTCTAATCTGTAGATCTAAGCCAAGGGGATCAGGGGGTTGTCTATAAAATATATGGAAACCATGTTGTTCAGTTCTCCCTTCACAAGATGGTGGCATCTGGGTGTTGGGAACTTAAGAGGATATATACTTAATTCAACTCCTAACACTTGAGTGTGATCATTATTTTCAACTTCATTCCAGAATTAAATTCCTAAGTGTCATTAGTAACATACAGTTCGGGTTTACCATTGATAAAGCAAGAGACACTCCATTTTCTGTTTTTAACTCCATACTAAGAGAAGTCACTTAAAGTTCACTTAAGCTATAGTTTACCCTAGTCCCCTTGGTTAGTTATCAACTCAGCAGAGCAGAGTCATAAAATGGGAACAGAACAAACAGGACAAATTGGGACATGGGACAAAAGTTAAACTGCAGTGGTCACTTGGAATTCAGCTGTCTGAGCTTCTGGGAGAAGTAAACTTTGTGATAATTGTGCGACATTCTTGTAAGATTTCCAAAAATGAGGTAATGGTTACTATGGAAACCTAAAACGTACTTAAATTGAAGGTGAGAGCCAGATCGGCCCAGCCATCTTCTCTGGCTCCTGGTTAGAGACTGTCCATCAGTCGGCTCTAATAAAGCTTTGTTTGTTCCTGCCTTTTTGGTTTTCTTATGAATGCCTTTCTTGATGAATTCACTTACCATATCACCATCACTTAAATTATAATAATATATTTATTATTATGATATAAATTATTATGATAAATTATAATCACCATCACATAAATTATAATAGGTCTCATTATTTTGTGTAATTACTTTGCATTTGATGATGAAACCTTAACAGATTAATGCTATACATTTAAAATGCACAATTGTAGATGAATAAAATGTTATCACGAGTCAGTATTCTAAATTTACTATTTTGATGTTTAAAGATAAAGCTTTATAATATCTGATCATAATACAACTATAAAAGTTTTATAATTAGCTTTCAGCCAAAAAAAAAAAAACAAACCACCCAAACATCTGATTAACAATCACAGTAGAAACAAAGGGTTTAGTACAGCTATTGCAGACACAATTTTTGAAAAACTACTCACATCCAAAGAATCCTCCTTCAGTAGGATAAGGGCCATATTTTGTGACACCAGTCGGCAGGAATATCCTAAAACGGAGAAGGGATAACATGTGAGTTTATCATTCTGCCTCTGAGTCTCTACGCTGTCAGTGGCTAATGGAATTCAGCCTTCCTTCTTGTGTCCACTTTGTTACCATTTCCTGTTCACACAGAGGAACAGGGCCACGGTGTGGGAAACATAAGCCTAGATTGATTTTGATTCTTTCACACATTGTGAGTAGAACTGGTTGAGAGGGTCTTTATAACTAAAGACTAAAATAAATACTTGTCAATTTTCAGTGACCTTTTCTTTATCCTTGTTCTCCTTTTGTAACATTAAAATAAGCCTTGGATTATCTAAACTAAAAGCAAACACTCTAGGAAGTCAAACAGAATCTAACAGTGCTCCTAACAGCATAAACGTACTTATTAGAATAGCAATAGCTCCTGTTTGCTTTTTAATTCATTTATTTATTTATTTATTTATTGGGGGTTTTTTGAGACTGGGTTTTGCTATGTAAAACTCACTACATAGTCACTACATAGTCTCACTACATAGAACTCACTACATAGTCTAGGCTGGCCTTGAACTTACTATGTAGTCTAGGCTGGCTTTGAACTCATGGCAATCTTCCTGCCTCAGTCTCCCCAAGTGCTGAGATTACAGGCAAGCACCACCACACCCATCTCTGTTTGCTCTTTTAAAAGTAGCCAATTCAGAGATGGGAAATTAGCTCAGTGGTGCAGCACTTGCCTAGCAAGCATGAGGTCTTAAATTCAATTCCCTTTACCAAAAATACAAATAAATAAATAAAAATAAAAGTAGCTAATTCGTGCAAGTTTTAAAGGCATATTATTGTATTATGGAACTCACTTTTCCTGCCAAAACTTCAAAGTAACTCCTATTTCAAGAAGTAAATCTGAGGTTTCTTTTTTTAAAAAAAGGTTTATTTGAAACAAGAGTACTCCCAATTAGCATCAACAGTTCCCAACTCATTTTTAAATAAAGTTATCTCTATGAGCAAAGACAGACACTTTCTTCTTCTTCCAGGAAGTGCTTCCCTATGTGGTGACCACTCAGAGAGCAAGGTAAGAGTCCCTCAAGCCTGCTGAGTCTGGGAAGGAGGCAGCTCCCGTGACTGTGAGGACCCACAGTGGCTGCCGGGACTCCAGTGCTTCGAATCACGCGGCACCCCCTCAGTGTCCCCTCGAGGACTGCGTGCTCCGGCCCTTTCTGCCCCTGTCCATTTATCTCACTCAGAAGAGGTGAGAAAAGATCTCAACCAGCTATCATGCTTTGCTCACCACAGCCCCCTGCATCCTCCATGCTGTGCTTATATCTGGCTTTTTCCTCTTTTTCCTGGCCCAAGCTTTCTCTGCAGAGCCGTGTCTCCCTCCTCTCCACTTTTACTTTGGCAAATAAACCTTGGTAACCCTTTCGTGCTCATTTTGTCCAATTCTTTGTTCAAGATGAGAAGAACCTGGAAACCAGCTCCAGAAGGTGACAAGAGCGCCACAAAACTTGGCAGTGTCTATGCGGCGAGCCACCTTTAGAAAGAGACCACCTGGTAACATGTTTGGCGCAGCCAGCCAGGAGGAAAGCTCAGGTACTGGAGACCAAGGCAAGCCCCATCCCAGGCATAGTTTTTGTCTCTATCCATGAGGCTTCCTAAATCAGCTCCTCCTTTCCCTTGCTCTGTCCCCTAAGCCAGGAGTCAGACTCTTCTCAAGGCACTGCTCAGAGGCGGCCTGGCCCAGCCACCAGTGCGGGGGACGGGAGTGTAGACTTCGTTTTTCTTTCTAGCTGCTTGCACTAAATTAACCTGATCTCCACTTACCCTATGGTTCTAAGTAGCTTTTCTCAGTTCGTGCTGCATTTGTTTGCTACTCTACCTTTTTTTTTTTTTTCGGGGAGGGATATTAACCTGGTCTCTGCTTACCCTAGTTTTTTAAATGGATTTTTTTTGCTTGCTTTGCGTTTTGGTGTGATGCTAGGATTAAGGGTGCCCCATCCTGAGTTGGGTGGCACCCATAAATGGGTTTAGCCTTTGTGACCACACCCTTAAGCGAAATAAACTGGACAAACAGGCATAAATTCCCTGTGATGAATGTGATCATTTCGTCTATCTGAATGGTACCAATAAACTTAGTAATAATAATAATTTAAATAAATAAATAAATAGGCTAAGAGCCTGCATGGATTCACGCAGTTAGATGTGGGCGTACATCAACTGCCACCATCGTTTTCTTTTTTTACTAACTAGCCTTAAGAGCTAAACCTCTGATTTTGGAGAACAAGCAGGAGGAACCTCTTTTCTCTTTAAATGACTTTAACTGTCTCTGGGGATCTTCCCCACATGGAAGAGAAAAATCTTCCATTCTAAAAGGATACACCCAAGGCTTTTGCCTGGGCCAGGCAACCACCCACAGGGCCTATTCAAACCACTTTAGCTGACCTACATCCCCTCTGTTTTAAATCCCACCTGAGGCTATAGCCTCCTGGCTGGATTTCTTCCTTGTTTTAGCACCAGTAATTTAAAACCCTGTGCCCGATACGGGATCACAATACACAACCTTTAAAATTTAATTAAAGAGACCGTGAGTACACACAAACAGAGCCATCCCCTTTCTTAGCCTTTCTATTATCAGAGTAAACGGCAGAAACGGTTTTCCCTGTGGGCTCCATTCTGGTTAAGTAGAGTCATCAAGGGACTCAAAATACCAGCAGAGCCATCAAGGGGCTTAGACACAGTGGCATCATTGAGGGGCTCCAAATGCTCCTGGATCATCAAGGGGTTCAGCTGAGTGGCTTTGGGAGCTTTGCTTGGGGAGCTCTGCCCTTCACTGGGAGTTACAGGAGAGGTGAGGTCAACACGTGCCGTCCACCCCTTCTCCCTAGTGGGTTAATGGGTCCAACTATGGAGACAAAAGCCCCAAGGGGCTTTCTTCTGTGCTTAATGATGTGTCATCCCTCAGACAGAGACTTCTGTCTCATCTGTGCCAGGGTCTCACAAGGGACCCTGTGGAATCCTTGGGTCTCCTTCTGCATGGGAGGCCATCTGAATAAGTCAAGACCTAGTTATCTCCTTCTCCTAACAGGCACCCCTGGCCAGGTCAACGGGAAACCTCTTGAACCTCACTACCGTAGATTTTACCAGCTTTGCCACGAGGCCTTCTTGATGAGTGAGAAAGGTTTGATCCTGACAATCTAAAACACAAAGAGCTTATCTACTATTGCAATACGGTTTGGGTGCAGTACAAAGCCCGTATAAACTGGGTTCAGTACGAACCGGCAGGAGATGGTTATGAGATAGTACTTTAAGTTATAAGACTGTTCTCCAGTCAGAGTTTCTGCTTACAACACACAAGCAGAATGAGATGGCTTCTGTTTAGGTATTTGTGACTGCATCAAAGGGAACGCTCAAGAACTATGACCAGGGATATAGCACAGTGGCACAAGCACCTTCCTGGCAAGCGCAAGGTCCTGGGTCTGATTCCCAGTACCAAAAAACAAAAAATAAAAAAAGGAACTATGGTGTGTAGAGTGGCCCCCCAAGGAGGAGAAAGATATTCTGGGTGACCTGACCCTGAGACCCCCCAACTCGTCTCTCGGGGATGTGGGTCTGAGACGCAAGGTCTTCTCAATCTCCTCCTTAGAGCCCCAGGCTAATAAATCAACTCCATCTGCTCCACGTGACTCCAGAACTCCATCAGAGCCCAGTGCCCCAGGGAAACCCAGTTCTTCAGCCCCTTATCGTGCTCCTCAAGACAGTTTCAGGGCCTGCCGGGGGAACCTGAAGTGGTGCTTCTTCCTGGGAGAACCCAGCCTTTCACAGACTTGGCTCGCTCCACAGTTCTGTCGCAGGGTTTGTCCCACTGTTCTGGGTGCAAGCAGACAGCAAGCATGCACATACTATGCTTGCGGTTGGTTTGCAGCTGGAGTCCTGGGGCAGGTTCTGTGACCAGAATTGAGGAAGGGGTTGAGTTCTTGATCTGAAGTGCCCGCTGTATGCTAATTCACAAGCTATCCTGCCACTCAGAGAAGTTCTGGGGAGCAGGAGGAAGTATTTGAGCACAGGATATTCGGTCTGTTTTTCAGTTGCTGATGTCCAGCATTGCAAAGAGCAAGTAGGCCAACTGTCATTGGACCATAGCAAGTTTGCAGATGGGTTTCAAACTCTGAGCCTTGATTCTGATTTATCATGACATGATTTCCACTCATCTTGGCCACTTGCTCTATCCCAGATAAAAGACAGAGAATCCTACAAGAGGGTAGGCACTGTGCAGATGAGCAACATGCTTTGAAAATGAATGGAAACCACCTTAGAGGACTGGACACTGGGCATGAGATTGCACCAAACCTCTGCCTGGGCCCTGCCCCATATGTGAGGCAGCTAAATGTGCCTGACTTACCGCATTAGAAGTCTGACTGTGCTCACTTCCAGACAGGGGCTAGGCCAGTCAGAACCCTCACTTCTTGCTCTGAAGAGGCCCTGGGGAACCTACAATGCCCCTGTCTATGGACACCACCATCTCCTCCGGGGAACCCTGGGTAATCTTAGACTTCATCGGTAAACCAACTCAAGTATTCCTCTGGACCTATAGCCATAATTATGGTTGAGGGGACCTCTAGTTGGAGATTCTTTGCAGTTATGTATCTCCAGTCAATAAAAGTATTTCTAACACTATCAAAAGTGATATGTATTCCTAAAATTTTAATGAACCTCTAAGAAACTTTCAAGCTAAAAAACAAACAAAAAAAAAGAAGCCCCTGCAAAGAAATTAGAAGTCCTGACTCTACATCAGGTCAGAGCTATTCTGGAGACAAAGTTGCTTGGGATTAACAGGGTAACAGCTCACTAAGAATCAGGTCATGCACTTTGATCTCTCTGAGGTTGTTGTAAAAACTTTTACTACCATTAACCCTGCTTCTTTGATGCCTACAGGCCCAGAAATTAGCCATTCTTGTGGACAGGTGATCTCTCAGACCTGTGCAAGTGGGCGGGACTTCAGTGATATGCCCCTGCAAGACCCCGAAAAGGTGTGGT